GATCCTGGTTAGTCTTGGACATTTCCAGGCAGAGTACCCGGGGTGCTGTGAGGACACGGAGAAGGTGTTCAGGTGCTTCATGGAGTCCGATCACATCAGCAGAGATTCCTTTGCGAGCTGCAGGTCAGGTCTTGTCTGCTTTTAGCCTCATTACCACTCGTTCGTACGTGACTTCAGCTACTGAGGAACTTTTAAGCGAGATCAGGGCAGGGTGGATATTTTCTCCTCAGACTTTCAGATGAACCCGAACGCTGTGACCTCTGCCCTCCTGTGACCTCTGCCCTCCTGTGACCTCTGCCCTCCTGTGACCTCTGCCCTCCTGTGTCTCTCTGCTCTCCCTTTGCAGTCTCTCTCTGTGGATGTCTGCCATCTTCCTCCTTAAACGCCTGAAATGCAAATGTGATGTTCCAGTTTCTGTGTCACTGCACTGCTGCTGGCATCAAACCGAGAATCCAGGTCAGCCATGAAAGCAGCCAGCAGGAGGTCATGTGATCTGTACCTGTGCTGCAGAAACAACCCTCCGTCAGCATCGGCATGTCCTCAGCAACGTGTCCTCTGAGACACCTGCACACAGACACGTTCACGTGTTCAGACTGTCATGTTCACCTTACACGTGGCGAGCTTTCTGAACGCTCATGCTGCGGTGTTCTCGGCCTCCAGCGTGCATTCAACCGGTCGCAGCAGGCTTCCTGCAGCTTCAGGCTTCCTGCAGCTTCAGGCGAGTTGCAATGAAATTAGATCAAATTAGAGACGCTGGGAGCGAAGCATGCGTCTGAGCCACAGACTTGGGTCACACCGAGAGACCGTTTGGAGGTTTTTAGGTGGAAAATAAAGTCAAGTAAGAAAAATGTAGAGACCTGATCTGACACACAGCGAGGGCGGGCTGATGGCGGTGAAGGAGATGATGATGGTGGGTCGTACTGACAGAGGATGCTGACCATCTGCAGACATCAGAGAAATGAGAGCTGCTTTAAACACCCAGCGGTTGGATTCACGGCTTCAGGCGTTACCATGGTATTTGAGGCGACCTCTGTGACCTCAGCAGAGCGGTGGCCTGGAAACAGGAAGCAGCAGGATACCAGAAACACCGCGGGGGTCCTCCTGCTGCAGCCGCTGAGGCGTGCGTCCACTGTGAGACGACGCCACGGGAAGGTCAGAGCCATCACGGTGGGGCGTGAACATCTCACGTCTCACTCAGACCTTCACCATGCTGACCTCACAACCTCCACCAATCATCTCACTTCATTTCCATTTTATTTATACAGCACCAAATCACAACATGAGTCACCTCAAGGTGCTTTAAATCGTAAAGATCCTACAATAACAGAGGGAAACCCCGACAGTCTGACACCCCTCTGTGAGCAGCACCCTGGCAACAGTGGGAAGGAAAAACTTCCTTTTAACAGGAAGAAACCTCCAGCAGAACCAGGCTCAGTCAATGAGTCCCACCTGTGAACACGAAAGCTTTTATTCTTCAGCAGAAAACTGCTGAGAGCGCGTTAATTCAAACAAACAACAAATCTGTCCAATGACAGCTGAGCTCACGTGACTCTGTCCAATGAGAGCTGAGCTCACGTGTTCCTGGACGTCCCCTCACCTGCTGACCGTCCCAGGAAACATTTCCATGATGAACAACTTTCAGCTGACACAACTGGGCATGCTCAGATCACGTGTCCAAATTAACAGCATCACCCGAGTGCTCCTGTTAGGCTTCCTGTCATGAAACACGTTCTCAGCTGGAGGAAGCTCACGAGGAGAAAGTCCACCCTCACCTCTGACCTCTGACTTCCAGCAGACGATAGTCCAGACACGTTTATCCTGAGTGAGAGACAGACACTATCTCTACTTTTAAGATTAGTTTCCCTGAGCCTGGTTCTGTTGGAGGTTTCTTCCTGTTAAAATGGAGTTTTTCCTTCCTGCTGTTGCCAAAGTGCTGCTCATAGGGGGTCATGTGATTGTTGGGTTTTTTCTTTGGGGTTTACCTTCCAATACAAAGCGCCCCGAGGTGACTGCTGTGGGGATTTGGTGTAGAAATAAAATTGAATTGTGCACATTGAGCCTTTCAGAATAAAAGACTGTATTTTCTGTCTTCAGCAGTTAGCTTGGTGTCCACGCCAGAGATGGGCAGTAACGCGTTACAAGTAACGCATTACTGTAATCCGATTACTTTTTTTGAGTAACGAGTAAAGTAAGGGATTACTATAGCAAAAGAGGTAATGAGATTACTGTTACTTTCCCGTAGGAACGCTGCGTTACTGCGTTACTAAAACCGTGATTTTTTGCGAGAATGTCTCATGACAGTGACGTAAGCGAGTGC